AACCCTAAACCCTAAACCCCTAATAAAGGCCCAGGGTTTTTCTTACTCTGGATTCTGCATTAGGATGTGCCTCCGTCAGAACTCCTCAAGTCATGTGTTGGACCTTGTTAGGGTTTAGGGTTTAGGGTTTAGGGTTTAGGGTTTAGGGTTTAGGGTTTAGGGTTTAGGGTTTAGGGTTTAGAATAGGGTTTGGGCTTCTTCCAAGGGCCTGAATAGTTAGAAAAAGCTTTGGGGATATCATACGATAGCTGCATCAAGGGCTAAGCGGGGATACTATAAACATTTATTCCGCACCCTTATAAAAAGGAACCCAAAAAAGGGACCCTAATTTAGAGAACCACCCATTTGGGCTCTTCTCTTCTACTCTCGGAAGACCCGAGGGAGTCAGGTCTCTTGAGACGCCCTGCAAGCAACAATTGCATTTTTCGAAGGGTTCTGGGTTTAGGCTTTGGGGCCCTGAAAATTATTTATGAATAAATACTTTTGGCGGAATTTTGAAGTTTCCCGAAATGCCACCTAGAGTTTGGGGTTTAGGCTTTGGGGCAACTTCCAGGCTGCCGCACCGTCATCCACTGCGTTCCGATGCGGATCATGCTCGTGTGGAGGTTGTCGCTGTCCTGCGAGTCTCAAGCAAACCCTAAAGCCCAAACTCTATAACCCTTTACACCTCACGGTTTAGGGTTTAGGGTTTAGGGTTTAGGGTTTAGGGTTTAGGGCCCTGAACCTTATCTCTTGCACCCTATAACCCAAAACCCCTCAACCGTATAACCCCACCTGCCGACATCCCAACGCCGGGTTCCAAAGCGCATTCGAGGCTCCGAATCTACCCTACCTGTGGCTCCAACAGCCTACCATTGGCTAAACTGCAGGACCTTCCGGTGAAGTTAGCGACACAAACGCTGTGCATGTATGTGTGTGTGTGTAGATATCTACATACATAAACATCAAACAAATCCTTCATGTAATCTAGAACGCTTATAACTAGAACAGGGTTTGGTGGTATCCTAGGCTATAAGACTATGAGTACAGTATAAGTATAATATACTCCCAGTTGTTCCAGCCCCAAAAGTAGAATATAAGTATAATATAAGCACATTGAAACAGCCCTTGTAAGCCTTCAACTCAACACGCTGCTCCCCAAACCCAAAAAAGCCCTGTAGCTAAAACGCCTGACATTCCAAAACTCAATCAACAAAAATCAAACCCCATAAGAAGGCCCTAAAGCTCTAAACCCTGGACCCTAAGCTTTAAGGTGCGAAAGAACCTTGAAACCCAACCCTTCGCCCTACACGCCCTAAGCCCTTAGCTCCTAAATCCTGCACCCGGGATCCCCACTATCTTTTTCCTGACAACCCCGCTGCAAATCTAAGTTACCCCTAAACCTTAAAACCTTCAAGCTCTAAAGCCCTAAACCGTTAAACCCTAAACCCTAAACCCAGATGGGATCATGTCGAATTCGGCTCCCGCCGTTTGGGTACATGAGTCCCAATGTTGTCGCTTATCTCTCCGGAGGCAATCGCTTTCAGCACAGATCACGACATTTCGACACATTTTTCGAGCTCTTTTACGGCGGTTGGGTGATCCTGTTCAAGCGTCTTTGGGCCCTTTCTGGTGTCCTTGGGTGTTCGCAACGTCCTTCCTGGATTGTTGGTTCGACCTCGTAGTTCTCTGAATGGGAAGGCCTTAGAGAAGATCCGTCTTATGATAGCTTCTAACTCTTTTGCGGGCATTATGAGAACACAGTTCTCGGCGAATGTCAATCCTGTAGTCTCCGATGTGCGATTATTTCATCCAGGGTCAGCGTGGTCGGCGTCCAGGCGAGCTCACCGGCAAGCTCAACAGGGCTGACTTAATTCGTAAGTTTTATTCGTAGTGGACCCACAAGTCATGGTTCTTCTGGCTCGTCCGAGTGGCATCTTGCATGAACCCTAAACCCTAAACCTTAAAACCCTAAACCCTAGACCCTTGTGTTAGACACCTTGTTAACCAACCCAAGGCCGGTCCTTACTCTTCTTGTTGAGACCCCCCCGTTGTAGTATAAGTCCTACTGTAAGGAACACAAAATTTCAAAAGGAGTCCCTAAACCCCAAACCCTAAAAATCCTAAACCCCAAACGTACTCAACCCTAAAAACCCTAAACCCTAAACCCTAACAGCCCTACACCCCCAAACCTAAACACCGCTAAACCCTAAAACCTAAACACCTTAAACCCTAAACCCTAAAGCCTGAAATCTAAACCCTAAATCCTGAACACCTAGACATGCGAAACCCGAAGCCCTGAACCCCAAACCCGTGTTTGGTTCAGGATTTGGGGCTGCAGGGTTTAGAGTTAGGGTTTAGGGTTTAGGGTTTAGGGTGTAGGGTTGAGGGTGCAGGGTTGTTAGGGTTTGGGTTGAGGGTAAAAGACTAACACCTCAGACCCGTAACCTGCAAGCCTTAAACAAACCTGAAGGCCCTCCTTGATTGCAGACATCGCCGCCATGGCGGCCACCACGAAGTTCAGAAAAGTTTTCTGGAAGAGGTCGAGGAGGATCACCATCTGACAAGCTGCTCTTAAGTGCGTCTAGGGTTTAGGGTTCAGGGTTCTGTCAATTGGGGTTTATTGTTAGTTCGGCTTAAGGCTTAGGGCTCCCCAAACCCTAAACCCTAAAGCATAAACCCATTGGTTAGGGCTTCTCTTTAAGGGCCCAATGGACTCTGCGATGGTTCCTTGGAAAGAGTGAGTGCCATCTTGGAAGCTGCTACCGTTGTGGCAAGCTTGGGGTCCAGGGTCTGGTGACCCTGGTGGTGGTTTAGGGTTTAGGGTTTAGGGTTCAGGGTTTAGGGTTTTCGGGTGTGAGGGTTTCGGGCGTGGAGCTTTGCTTGAACAGTCATGGGAAGCCCCGTGGGAACTTCTCCTCCCTGCCACTCCATGCAGTCCGACTCCAGACAGCGATGAATAGCCTCGAGCGTTTCCAAGCGACAGCACCTGAAATGTGTCACCGCAATTATGCCACAGAACGTCTCCAAGCACAGCCGAGGCGCCAAAACAGCGGCGGGACGAAGTCCCCAGCGGTTCCTCCAGGAGTTTACGACTTCCCCTCCGCCCAAAACAGCGTCGGATTGAGCGGGTGTCAAGCCAATGAAGACTCGCACTTCCGCGATGGCAGGAATGGCCATGGCTCTGCAGAGCTTCCGGCGGGCGTTGCTTGTGGGGAGGACAATCCCATCCCAGGCATCTAGGGTCGCTTCTGAGGTACTTACTAAACCCGAAACCCTAAACCCTAAACTCTAAACCCTAAACCCTAAACCCTTATAACCCCTAAATCCTGAAGCCTTCCCAAACCCAAACGACCCCCGGCCACCATTTCAGTCTTCGCACTTTTTGTCTCTGCTCCAGTTTCCGGCTCCCTCACAATGGTTTAGGATTTAGCGGTTTAGCACTTAGGGGCTAGGTTTAGGGGTTTGGGGTTTCGGGTTTAGGGTTTAGGGTTTAGGGGCTAGGGCTTAGGGTTTACGGCCAGAGACATGCTGTTGTTGCAGGCAGCAGCAGCAGCAGCAGCAGCAGCAGCAGCAGCAGCAGCAGCAGCAGCAGCAGCAGCAGCAGCAGCAGTCGAGACAGGCAGCACCACTCCAGCATCATACGATACTCAAACTCAAACATTCCAGGAACATGAAGTCTCAAAACAAAAACCGAGTTCACCTAAATGCCTGCGCCCGAAACCCCAAAACCCGTGAACCCTCATCCCTTCCACGACAAAGTTACGCAACCCAGACGAAACCCGAATTGAACCTTGAAGCTGTGGACCCTAACCTAAGCTCTGCAACCGCACCCCCTAAACTCCAAAACCCTAAACTCAGCATTAAAACCCAGCAAGAATCAGAGGCCTCGTGACAAGCGTAACAAGATGAATCGTATTCCAATTAACTAACTTTGACAGCTGGCATAATCGTGATGATAGCGATATCAACTGTAGTACTAGCAATACTTTACATACATAGCAGCACGAATTCTTGCTTCCCCACTAAGCCAGGGAAATAAAAAAAAGATAAACTTTCAGGCTAATGCTAAAACAGCCTCCAAACCCTAGAAAGCGCCATAGCCAAGGATGCGGCTCCCACCCAGACGGATGGGTTATCCGGGCAAGTGCGGCAGTAGTTAGGATACCTTGGGCTTTCGGGTTTAGGGTTTAGAGTATTTAGGATACCTTGGGCTTTCGCAGGAAACCAATGCCGATGTCAATAAGAGGTTCCTCAAGGGTTTAAGGCATTAGGGATTCTGATGCATGCTTGCTCTTTGAGGCGGCGTTGACGCGCCTTGCGACTGCTAGTTTGGGGTTTTGGGATTCGGGTTCAGGGCTAAGCTTCGCTTTTGTTGGTTTGTATCGTCAGGGCTTCGCGGTTCGGATTTAAGCGTCAGGGCAAGATTTGGGGTGCAGGGGGTTGGGGTTTGCTGGTTGGGGCCAAAATACATCCTATGAGTCCTTCTAGTTCCCCTTATGGAACCCTTTGTTGAACCCTTCTAGACCCCTCTATTATCTATGGAACCCTTCTATTAACCCTAAGCCCTAAACCTTGCCACTGCTATTAACACCAATACGAACACCAAGCACTACTCCCCGGACTTTGCCGGATCCCCGCCCCTGGGCGCAACTTCTTCAGCCACCTGTTGGGAGGGGTGGGCACACTAATGTAGGAGCCTTAACAACTAGGGTAGGGTTTTGGGATCGTTTAAAATAGTTTTTATTAAGGAAACCGGACCTAACCATAATGTTGGGGAGTATTGAGGCTTCTAATTAATCAGACCCCGACAATACCTGCTTCAAACCAGAAAAAGCGGATCCACATGCTCGCTCTGCTATGGACCTTGTGCATAGCCTTTGAACACCCTATCTCCTGGTAAACCTCCAAGGGTTTCGGGTTTCGGGTTTCGGGTTTCGGGTTTAGGGTTTAGGGTTTGGGGTGTAGGGTTGTCCTAAACTGAAGCCTTCAAACCCTTAACGCAACTGCTGATCAGCGGCTGATCCCGAGCGTAGCCATGCGGGCATTCCCCGCAGAGAAGACCGGTAGAGCCTCGACGGCTCTAGGATTCCCCGCCCACTTGGAGGGTCGGGGGACTTAGTAAGTAGATACTACGTAGAGTTATAAGTACCCTAAAAGGGATCCTTAGTGGGGTTATGGTACTTATCAGTCTATAACATAACTAGTTACTAAGTCCCCCGACCCTCCAAGCAAGCCCGCTTATATGAAGAGTATTCTGGGGGCTCCTCAAAAATAAGGAAGGTTACAGGGGCTTGAAGTTTTAGGTATTGGGGCTTAGGGTTTAAGGCTTATAGGATAGTTTGGATTAGAGGATTGATTTTCTGTCACTTCATCATGCAAGCCAGGGCTACGCGGGAAACCAGCCCCCTTCTGACGGTCATCCGGTTCGAGGTACTTGCTGCAATGCAACTCCCAACCTAATTTAGGGTTTAGGGTTTAGGTACAATTACAATCTCAACTCCCAACCTGAATCCTAAACCCCAAACCCGAAACGCCTAAATCCTTGGCCGGACGCCCTAAACCGAAGCGCTGAATCCACGGCCCTCCACCCTACGCCCAAACATTTGAAGCTTCACGCGCTCTGCTGTTCCGACTCGGATAGGATCCTTTCCACAGTCGTGCCATTGCCGGACCAGCTGAACTTCATTCATGCCCCAAACCCTAAACCCGAAACTCTAAACCCTCGACGGTGCAACTTCCAAAACAGCTCACACATGAGCTTCTCAAGAGCTGGTTGCTTACAGCTCTCGCAAAGATCATTCAGGTGCCAACACATAAAATGGGTTTAGGGCTTAGTAGGCTTTGGGGTTTAGGGTATATTGAGTTAAGCGTGCTTCGCCTCACTTGCTGGTTGCAATGTCGGCAAGATGCTGGAACGACCGACTGACATCCAAAATAAGGGGCCTAAGCAGCAAGATCCCCTGAACCCTGAATCCTAAAGCCTAAACCTGAACCCTAAACCCGACAGCCTAAGCCCGAAACCCTGAACCCGAAAGCCTAAAGCCTTCAACCCTAAACCCCTAGACCCGAAGTCCTGACGAAGGGATTGCAAAGGCCCCCCACCTTGCGCGCAGATGTTTCCTGCTGCCGTCTCAGGATTCGTTGGCTTAGGGTAATCAGAGGGGTCTATAATAATTCTGTCGGGATTTAGGGTGTAGGGTTGAGTAGGGTACTTGAAGGGTTCTGTAATTCTAAAGGGATTTCGGGTTTAGGGTTGAGTAGGGTACTTAAAGGGTTCGAGGGTTTAGGGTGTACTGTAACCCCAAATAACTCAGCTTTTCAAGGGCTCGATCAGGGAATCAAAATAAGGACCCCGAAAAAGGTAGGTTTAATCGGGTGCTTACTGGGTTGAGGCCTGGATGACGGGTTTAGGGCTTTGCATTAGGAACCTTAAACCCCAACCCTAAACTCTAAACCCTAAACCCTCAACCCTAAACCCTCAACCCTAAACCCTAAACTCTAAACCCTAAACCCTAAACCCAAACCCCTAGCGCCTAAACCCTAAACCCTAAACCCTAAACCCTAAACCCGAACCCCTAAACCCTGAATCGGAGAGCTTGTTGGGGCCGCAGGGAAGGCGATCAATAAACAAGGCGACCGCAAAGAGTTGCGCTGAGTTGTGTTACGCTACGGTTCCAGACAAGCAAAAACCCTAAACCCTCGACCCTAAACTGATCCCTAGACCCTAAACCCTAAACCCCAAGCATAAGCTCCGAAAGGGTAGGGCCCGCTTTCCTTGCATGATCGAAGACCCTACCCTCGCCGCATCCGATTTTTCCGGCTGTCGGATTTGTTGTGGAGTCCGGCTTCGAAGAGGTTGCTGACCCAGTGGAACAGCTTGGCACCGTTGTTGTAGCGGCACTGCCGAACGCCATCACTCTTGAAGTACTGATGGCTCAAGTATTCCACCGGATTCCCCTCCGGAAACGCCTGCGAGCTCGTCTCCTGCTTCAGGATGGTCCCTACTTAAAGGATCACGGGACTTAGTAAGTAGGGTTATAATTAAGGTAACTGTACTTATCTTTACTTATAACCCCAATTAAGGGACTTATAACCTTACTTACCAAGTCCCATGATCCTCCAAGCAGGCTGGCAATGTTTAGGATTGCCTTGAGCCTGGTTGGCCTGGCTCGCACCCATGGAAGCACTGGGTGCTGGAAAGCAGCACTGGGTGCTGGATGAAACAAAGCCTGGGAGCATGGCCTTCTGGTGCCTCTAGAACTGCTCTGGTGCTCTGGCGATTAGGGTGTCGGGTTTTGGTTTAGGGTGTAGGGTGGCCGCCGTCGACAGGGCGAGAGTAAAGGCAGTCGTCGACTTTGCGAAGTGGGGAAGAGTGTCGGCCCGGTGTTCAATCTGGGCGTAAGACGCCTCCTCAATCACGGCTAGCCCTCCCAAAACCCTAAACCCTAAACCCTAAACCCTAAACCGTCGACCTAGTTGCAAACTTGACCGAAACCGTTGCAGGTGCTCCTCTCCTAAGAAGTCATGGCGCTTGTGCTACCCTCCCCGTTTAGGGTTTAGGGTTTAGGGTTTCGGGTTTAGGGTTTAGGGTTTAGCTTCTTTCTCTCTGGTGCTTATATCTATATCTATACATCTACATCTATCACTATACCTATGTCTGACTATCAGATCATATCAGACCAGATCATATCATATCATGCCATATCATATCATATCATACCAGATCAGATCAGATCAGATCAGATCAGATCAGATCAGATCAGATCAGATCAGATCATATCATATCATATCATATCATATCATATCATATCATATCATATCATATCATATCATATCATATCATATCATATCATAACATATATATATATATATACATACACCCTCAACCCTAAATACTAGACCCCAAATACACTCCAAACCATATATATATATATATAGATAGATAGATAGATATGCATATATGTAGAGGGGCACAGCGAGGTCCTATCAGGGAGGCAGAGGGCTTGATAGCTTACACCCCACGTATTTTGAACATTGGGCGTTGAGGGTTTAGAGGTCTCGGGGGTCTTGGGTTTAGGGGAACAAACCTCCTCTGTGGATCTGAAGGTTCCATGACGGCAGTCTTCGCACTAAATGTGCCTTTGAGGCATGCATCAAGCAAGCGGGAAGGGTCCAACACGGCCCAAACCCCAGACATGTCATCTCAACCATAAACTTACTTCCCCAACAGGAAATAGAAGGTTCAACTTTCAGATTGGTACTAAATTATAAGAGCCCAAACAGTTTACAGGGTGGCTATTGGAGAACTAAGTAAATACCCAAAGCACGAAAACCGAGACATCGATGACGCCAAATGTCAAGCAAACCTATGGAACTAATGTCGGGGCCTTACACAATTCTAAACCGGCTTAGGGGCGGTTTCGGGATAACTATAATTACTCAAATTATAAACTCTACTGAGTGCTGCCAACTTTTCAAACCCCACACACACACACAAACACTTAAACCCGAAGCACTGAACCCCTAAACCCCTAAACCCCCAAACCCTAAAGCAGCTTTAAACTCGCAAGCATCCGTAATGGACCCTACGGATTGTCCTTAAGTCCAGTATACGTCGCAAAGCTTGAACCGAGTAGTTTCGGCTTCGGCGAGAGCCCTGAACCCTAAATCTTTAAACTCCTAAACTTTAGGGTTTAGGGTCTAGGGTTCAGGGCTTAGGGTTTAGGGTTTAGGGCCCCAAACCTGGAACCCCCAAACCCTAAGCCTTAAACCGTTGAGGCTTTGTGGGTTCCCCAGGCCGTTCGCCTCCTCTGCACGCCGACAAGCCATCCGCCTGCCCCACGATCGTGGGAATTACGTGGTAACTTAAAGGGTTCCTTCAGGGGCTCCGTCTAGGGTTTAGGGCTCAGGGTTTAGGGATTAGGGTCTAGGTTTTAGGGTTTAGGGTTTAGGGCTTAGTGAACATACATATAACCTGACCTACTAAGTCCCGTGATCCTCCAATTGGAGGATCATTGGGCTAAGTAAGCCAGGTTATAACTAGCTGAATTAGGGTTAGAGTTTTCAGTGATCAGAGGTATAACTAGCTGCCATAGTAATAGCCCTATTTACTAACATGATCCCTGAAGTAAGCCAGCTTGGGCAGGTCTGGCATCTCCTACACCCTAAACCCTAAAAGCCCTAAACCCTAAACGCCCTAAGCCCCAAATAGTTTAGGGTTTAGGGTTTAGGTACTAAAAAGCCTAAACCCTAAACCCCAAAAACAGAACCCGTGCAGCTCTGTGCAGTGTCAGAAAACCTGGCTGTCAGTGTCCCAGCAGCATTCGGACCCTTCGCCTAGGGTTTAGGGTTTAGGGTGCAAGCCTTAGGGTTGAGGATCAACGCTCGAACTATGGTGTGATATGGTGTTGAAAGCCGCCGGTCGAGGGACACAGGTCCGGATTTTAAGCTTAGGGTTGGCTGGGCTTGATGGGTTTAGGGTTTAGGGTTTAGGGTCTTCCGACGGGCTCAGGGTATCGGGTTCCGGGTTTACGGAGGAGCGGCAGAACTATGTCGATCTCTCTCTCTCACACTCCTCTCTTTCTGAACTCTCCCCTCTGTCTCTCTCTCTCTCTCTCTCTCTCTCTCTCTCTCTCTGGCTTCTTTCCAGCACGTGTATAGCACCAGAACGAGAACCAACTTTGTACAGCAAGAAACGACTTTGCACAACGCCACACATAGATACACGAAAGCATGTACGCCAGTGCACAGACACATGCACGTATGCATATGTTCGGACGCAGGAAGATGTGAACGAGTAGGCATAAGACTAATCGAAAAACGATGCCCTTAACTCAAAACCCTACCTTAAAAACCTGCGGAGCGTTCAACCACCTTTGTTCCCTTCCATCTGTTCTCGAAATAGATGGTCTGCCAAACCTGGTCCTGGTGGGTTGGGGCGCCCGAAACAGTAAACTGGGCTTTGAAGTAACCAGGGAGAAAAAAGTATAGGTTCTTATTTCATAATGGTTCCTTTAAAGAACAGGTCCCCAAAAAAAGTATTAAAGAATGGTACTCCACAGCCCAGTAAACCCTAAACCCAAAAACCATTGAAGCCCCAGAAGACTTCAATTCGACAAAGAAGAAAAACACTGTGCTGAGCTGTTTGCACCCAACAAAACAAACCTCCGAACACCCTAACCCTGAACCCGAAACCCTAAACCCAAAACTAGAGCTCAGGGTAGACGCTGAACGCTCCAAGCGCCCATAAATCCTGACCCCGTAAATCCTAAAACCGTAAATCCTAAAACCCTAAACCCTGAATCCCAGAACGCCTATAAACCGTGAACACGACAGCCCCTGCCATGTTCACATCGCACGCCACCGCGACGACGTTCCCAGTTTGGTAGTAACCGGGCCTTCAAAGGTTGAACCCATGGGCCCCTAACAAGGGCCCTTAGGAGATTCCAGGGTCCCTTAAGGGTATATATAGGGTATATAGTAGGTATATTAGGGTCCCAGGGTCAAGGGCCCATACTAGGAGCCCATGGGTTCTACCTTAGAGGGCCTGGTTTGCCCAAGCACTCGGCTAGGGGCTGTCGGGTTCTGGGTAACCCTAAACCCTAAAACCTAAACCCTAAAACCTAAACCCTAAACCCTAAACCCTAAAACCTAAACCCTAGACCCTAAACCCTAGACCCGTTTGGGGTCTAGCGGTCCTTTCGAGGGTCCCTTGTGATTTCGGTCCTGCCCTAAGAATCAAAATAGCCCAAAAGCCTTATATAGTATGGTCTTTGGGCCCAAATGCCTTAATATA